CTTGTGGCTAATAGCCACTGATGGACCTCTGCTCCATATGCTTATCTAATTCCCTTTTGAAGCCGTCCATGCTTGTAGCCGCCACCACTTCCTGTGGCAGTGAATTCCATGTGTTAATCACTCTTTGGGTGAAGAAGTACTTCCTTTTATCCGTTCTAACCCGACAACTTCCTTCTCTCCTTCCCATCAACTAGCCAACATACCTTTATCTACCCTCCTTTCTTCGACTTTCTTTCCCTCCCCTTGGCAACCTCCTACACAAAAAACTCTGACCAAGTTGTCTGGTGCTGGCTGAACTGGGCCCATCGGCATGGTGTATCCCCTCCCCACACTATTTCCTCTTTCCGTCTTCCCAGCAATCCTCATATCCTCACTTTCCCCCCACTTCCTCCTCTCCTCCCACCTTCCTGCCTTTAGATCCCATTCTGAGAGGAAAGTATGGTATGTTTACTCAATAAATTAAATACTCTGCTTCTTGTTCCTGCATTGACAGACGGTTAGTCAGTAGCCCCAGAACTCTCCCCACGCACAGGCTTGCCATGCCTCCTCACTTTTGACTGTTCAGAAATTTGCTAAACTACATGATTCCCAAGAGAATTTGGGGACTTCTTTTGCTGACTTCTTGGTGATTAAATCTGCACCGCTATTATTTAATCAGACAGTTCCTGATTACCGACTCTTGGTTGTATGTTGTATGTTCTTGCATGCTTTTCATCTACTGCAGTTTTACATCTAATAGAGATTATTTCCATTTTTTTCTGCTTCCTTTTCAATATGATTGCTGCTGCTGTTTTAAATTTGCTATTTATATATATTAAAATGTATTAAATTTGTATGTCATAAGCCATCTTGAATGACATTATCATAGTAGCAAAGCATTATATACATTTCTTCAATAAAAATAAACCAGTACAAAGTAATTAATCCTCATTAAGTGACCTTGAATATCACTTCTAATCTGGTTTATTTTACAAAATCTGCAATATTCTTAACCTCCTTGTTGACATAAGGGCCCTGACAATCCCCCAAACCCATCTGAACTCCTTTGCCTACCTGCTGAATCATATTTTAAATTGAGCTTATACACTAATTTTCTCAGCACACGAAAAATATACTGTAATTCCAAACAAGAAACCGTGTTAGTCTGTTGCTGCACAAGAAAAATTCAGTGGCAGTTGAAAGACTAACTGGGCTGCTGGAATAAACTCTTGTTACGTCTTTTTAAGGTTCCACTGGACTACTAGTTTATTTCTGTAGTTCGCTGCGATGTCCCGGAGTCCAGTCCTGAGCACTGTAAAACAAAAATAGGCAAGACCATGACTTCATCAAAGATCGAGGAAACATACAACCTAATTTAACAGGGAAACTACGATCTAAAATTCTACAGGCGTCGAGTTTACGGCTATTATTGCAGTTGCATAATCACCTTTCGCTACTACCACCACCATTCCCAGTTCCCAAAGTTTACATTTTACTCCCAAAAACTCTCCATTCCATCTCGTCTTCTTAGCTCTCTAGGTTTACAAGTGAGAAGTGCTCGGAATGTATTTTTGATTGGCGGAGCCAAAGTTAGTGACATCAGCCAAATCACTTTCGATTGGCTGGCTGGTTGCTGGGACTATACGGGATTCTAGTGAAGCGCTTAACCCGATCTCTGCCAATCGACAAACTTGTAATCCTGGCGAGCAGAGCGCGAGAGAGGTCGCCCAGGAGGGTCAGCAAGTGAGCGGGAGTGCGCTGAAAAGGCCCTTGGCACCCTGCGGCGTTGCGCCGTCGCCCTCATAAGCCAGCTAAAGGCAAACTCCTCCCGATGCCTTGGTACTTCCCAAGATAGGGCGCCGCCGGCATGCCTTCTTCAGCCTGCTCGAATTGCCCTTTTAAATAGGGGCGGCGAGACTCCAAGAGTAGCACGAGGCATTGGGAGGGAGCAGTAGGATTGGCCAAGCCTTGGGTTTATAGACACACCTCTCATGCAAAAAAAAGGCCCTTCGGAGTGGAAGGGGGGGAAGGTAAACAGAGTTGAATCACTCCCCCGGCTGACCAATTGGTGGTGTTGGGGTGGGGGGCTCGCTGGAACCTTTGCGTGATGGGCTTCTGCGAAATTGGTCCTGAGCAAGACGGTGCCGGAAGAGAGAGGAGCTGCAGGCGCGGGGGGAGTGAGTCAGGCAGTGGGCAAAAGTATCTCCTCGAGCTCGGGCTGAGGTTTCCACGCCGCCTTCCCTCATGAGCGGCTGAAGGCGCCGGGAATCCTAAGGAAGGACCCCGGGAGAAGAGGGCGGGAGAGCGGCCGGGGTGCGCGATCGACTTGAGTTCCTCCTGTGCTTTTTTCCCCCCTGTGGGGTGGGGGGAAGAAGAGGGAAAACACCCCTTGGTGCTACTTGAATTACTTGAAGTCACCACTTGTGACACTGTGTTCTGGAGAGAGCCTTATATTCCCAACCCTCCGGCGTGCTCGGGAGCGCATGAGAAGCTGGAGTTTGCCGGCGTCTGGGGGGCAGGGGGCGCGAGGAAACGGCGTGGACTGAGGTCAAAAGGTAGGCTGGGCGCATTTCTCCCTCTCGGGGGAGGGTCACGGATGGCCGCGGTTATGTAAAAAGCGCAGCAGCCGAAGTGGATCCCCTGCCTGGCTTGCGAAGGTACCCCACCCCGCCTCCACCCGTGCTCTGCAGCCTGAAGGCAAGACAACAAGCAGCCTGCTGATTGCAACACCCCCACCTACCCACCCCCCTCCAAGAGGGAGAGGGCGACGCCAGGCAGGCAGGCAGGCAGCGAGCAAGTTTTCGCAATTGGGCTCTCCTCCCTCTTTTGGTGGGAAGGGTGGCTGATCGTCGCCTGCAGGATGTCGGCAGTGGCTTACATGGACTTCGTGGCTGCCCAGTGCCTGGTGTCCATCTCCAACCGCTCCGTGGCACAGCAAGACGTGACCCGGGAAGCAGAGCTCCTGAAGATGCCCGAGGAAGAGGAGGAGGAAGCGGCCGGAGTCGTGACCAAGGAAATGAACGACCCCAGGGACGCCTGGAAGGATTATTGCACTTTGGTGACCATTGCCAAAAGCTTGTTGGACCTGAACAAATACAGACCCCTCCCAACCCCATCCATCTGCAGTGACAGCGTGGAAAGCCCCGACGAGGATGCGGGATCAGACAGCGACGTGACCACCGAATCTGGGTCGAGCCCTTCCCACAGCCCGGCGGAGGGGCAGGAGGCTGGCGGCGTGCCCGACCCCCTCTCCCTCCTGCACAGCGGAGTGCCTGCCAAGGGGAAACTGGCCACTGAAAAAAGACATAAGTGCCCCTACAGTGGATGTGGCAAAGTCTATGGCAAATCGTCCCATCTTAAAGCCCATTACAGAGTGCATACAGGTTAGCTGTGGTCTCTCTCTCTTTCCGAGGGGCGGGGGCGGGGAGGGTGCCTTCCGGGGGCTCACGCGACGGGCAGACGGTGACCGGGCAGCTTTGCCTGCCAGAGAGCAAAACCTGTTTACAGCAATGCCTCCAGTGGCTCACAGGCAAACGGCGTTCGGTGAGTCGGCTGTTCTGGGGGGGGGGGGGTTCCCCTCCCCCCAAAGCGGGTTGCCCTGGCTTGAACCCTTCTGAAAAATGCTGTGGTTATTTTAGCCCTTCTTGCCTCCGGTCGTCAGCATCTATAGCCAAGTCCTTTCCTCGGCACTTCTAAGCAGTCATTAGAACAGGCTGGCTGTACATTTGGGCACGGGGTGTTAATGCAAATGGCATGTCAAGAGTGTGGCTGGATAGGAGAGCAAAGGGTGTTTCACTGGCTTGTCATGCTGCTGAATCCTGTTTTCTTCTCATGCATCTGTATATTACTGAGGTGTGCTTACACTGAGGAGATCAGACCAGTAGAGGAGCTGTTTACTCCAAAAATGCTTCTTTCAGCTGGAAGGAACTGAAGGGAGAAACCTGTGTGGATGCTTAAGGTTGTGGATGCTTAAGAGCCATTTAGAGGTTGCCATCTTCTGAGTTTGGCTTCATGATGGCTCTTTTTTTCCTTACCAGGGCAGTCCAAAGCTCTCCCAACAAACTTCATAGACTGTTGCCTGGCATTATATTTCAGTAAAGCAGTGGGTAGAAAACTTAACTAGGCCTCTTTCAGCTTCTTCCTAAAGTAGTATTTCAGAGCAGTATTTGGGTTAGCCTCAGTGGCAGATCTTGGTTCCATAAATGTCACTGGGCGTGGCCACAGCTCGGCAGCATGAACTAATGACGCGTTTTCTGAATTCTTGTGAAGAAACACGTGGGAGCTTGTAACGCCCAAAGGCACTGGAATAATGTAAATTGTCTAGTAACTAGTGTAAATTAATTGGGGAGCAAAAAAGGTTAGGGAATGCAAGATATGGTGAAATCTCTACCTTTGGAAAGTTTCCTATTTATTTATGTTGAACATTCACAATACGGTACTGTAGTTGTAAATGGCTAATATGAAAAACCAAGCACCTGCCCTTTTGGGGAGAGTTTATTTTCATTCATCATGGATAATATGGTGACCAGCTTTATTCTACCCATTTGTGTTGTGAGACCTTGCCCAGCAACCTTATCCTTTAGGTTTTGGAAGCAAGTGTTGAGTGTGTCTTCAATAAGTAATGCTTCTATCTAAGGGAATATTTGTTGTTGATTCCTAGTTTAAAACTCAAACATTTGTGAAAGGTCACATGCACTGCTACTGAGCATGTCTGGTACTTCACTGCAGTCATTGGAGATGCTTCCTTAGAATTTGGTGAATATGTTTAAAGATGAAAGAAGATTACTAGTGCCTGTTGAAGGAGTGCTTTTGTGGAAGACTCAATGAGTTAAGGACTTCTACATTTTCCAACAAAGTGTATTGCAGCTCTATGAGGAAAGCTGCTTAATGTTATGGTATGATACTAGATGTACTTTGCTACTTCAATGTGACTTTTTGATTATTAACGTGATGGTTATATATTGCTGGAGTGCAGTGTGGTATAGCCTGGTCTTGTCAGATCTCTGAAGCTAAGAAGGGTCGGTACTTGGATGGGAGACCACCAAGGGAGGCTCTGCAAGTGGAAGGCAGTGGCAAACCACCTCTACTTGTCACTTGTTTTGACAGCCCCTTGCTGAAGTATGTACTTTTGTATTTACCTATTGAAGGTCATGCACTAAGAGAGCATATGCCTATGTTTTCCTTGGTCCTTTCTTGGTCCCATAATGATAAGCAACATGGGATGAATGTTGTGTTTAGCTGGCACTTTCCTTTGCAATCTCTGTAAAGAAACAATTCAACCACAGAATGGTTGTAATACTCCTTCTCTAGAGGTGGACTTTTTAGGGTAGACCTGATGCAATGAGGATTTTCAGTACCATCTCAGTTCATGAGGTAAATGGAAAGTTTTCCTTTTCTACCAATATGGATTTTTCCAGAATTGCTACATTTACTTTATTTGTAAAGCTGAATTACTATCCAGAATCCTATTTTTCCATAAAGCAGGATGTTCCACGCCCTGACCTACCCCTTGTGTGTTAGATAGTAGAGCCATTTGGCAAAAAGCTGCATAGTAATATAAAACACGTCTGCCCTAGTGAATCAGATTCTTACAGACTATTGTCATGATTTGGGTTGCACACTTTTTTATTGAAAAAAACACGTTGTGTGACACTTACCTACTTGCGTAGTTCTCTTTAAGCTCTGCATATGTAAGCTGGAGTCTTAGGACAAGGGCCAGGCAAAGGAGAAACTGATATTGCTCAGTGTTCCATTTTCTTTTTTTGGACAATGTTTTCTTTCCTTTTGATTAAGCCAAAAGAGGAAGAGGTCTTCACACAGGGAACCAACACAAAGAACGTACTCCTGCCAAAAAATAATAATAATTATGTGCACTAAATGGCATCTTTCTTGCCAGGAGGGTGTGGCAAAGAGTGGGTTGGGGTTGAACTTCCCCTGACGTGCCTTTCCCAGTGGCTTAGTTCTTGTTGCCATTGGAGGAGGAGACATAGGAGTGAGTCCCACTACTGCTCTTCTGTTCACAGTGCTGGCATCCTATGTAGTGCAGGAGGGGAAATGAACCGGAAAAGAAGTGTTGTAAGTCACTCATCAGTGATTCCTGCAGTTAAAATACAGAGCAAGGAAGGAAAGGCGTATGAAAGTTATAGCCAGCTTCCTCACTGTGTTAGACGTGCCGGACAGAGAGGTTCATTGCCGAGAAATGTCAAATTGGCATTCCTTCCAGATTAAAAAAAATGAACCAATAATGTTTGTGTGCATCAGAGTTGACTTCTTTTTGTTAATAAATATAGAATATGGATAGCAGTTATGGAGAAAACTTGGGGAAGTGATGGATGTAAACGTAATTTTATCAAATAAGAGTTTTACCCTAATATCATCAACTTAAGTGGACTGAAGTTTTGTTCAGTATTGTAACCTTTAAAAAATGGAAAGGAAGCAATTCAGTTAGTCTGAAGATGTGCTTACTATGAAACACTCCTCCTTTTGTGCCATTCATTTATATTCTACAGACAACTGTTCATTGAGGCCTTGTGCAAGGGAAATAATTGACCTACCATGTTTGTGTATAAGCTCACTTGCATTCTACTTCAAATGCTTTGAGGACACAGGCTCTTTCCATCAAGAAGCTTATTCAGTGAAGTATCACCTAAGCAACTTCATATCTTTTACTAGCTGGAAGAATATTCTGGGTAGAAGTTAACACAAACTTTCTGTTTTGTTTTGAAATCCATTCAAACAGCTCTGTTATTTAATTAGAGCTTCTAATGATTAAATATTTTCAAAACCAGATACAACACTGTATCCTTGATTGATTAATCCCAATGTATTTTTGTGTCAACCACATTCACTTGTCACTGTAGTAAAAACATAACATAGTGGTGTGCATAAGAAAACCGAGGACTTCTGTTCAAAACCTTATTCTGTAAATCAAGATGTAAGATGGCTGTCACTTGAGATCTGTGTCCTCAGCAAATAATACGCTTGAACTTTGCAATAGTGTTAATGCTTGCTTGCCAGATTTAAAACCCATGGATCCCATTCCATACACTATGCATTCCACAGCTACACTGTGGTATTTCCTGAGTAAACCTCCTCCATCAGATGTGGGAGCTGTCTTTGATTTTTTTTTTCATTCTTGAAAAAAAATCTTCCTTTCATATCTCCAGGCTTTAAGGCATACATAGTAGGTTGCTTTTTAGTGTGGACTTATTTTTGTTTGTTTGTTTTTTCAAGGCAGTCCTTCATATTCTCCATGTACCCTTAGCTACCCCCTTAGTTTCAGATTCATTCTGACAAAGAATTCCTGTCAGGGCACCCATTCATACCTGTTCTAGTGACACATTTTTTTCAATGAGCTTTGATTAATTGAAATGGTGTAAGACTGCAGACACATGGGCAGCTTGATATTCCTAAAGTGCTGGTGCCTGGAGATGTAATGGCCAAGCCCTCTCCAGTGACCAGGCCTGTTGCTCTGGTGATATGTTCCTTCTCAGACTGAGAAGATGGTGCAGTGCCCTGTCCTGTCTTAGTAGGGAACGCTTCGTTGGATTTGCAAGGGAGCCATCCTTTGTACAGAACTGTGGAGGCTGTGGCCTTATCCCTGTAATGCTGCTGGAAATTAGGCTAAAAATCTTTGTCAGTTAGGGTTGCCAACCCCCAGGGTGTGGCTGGAGATCTCCTGGGATTACAACTGACCTCCAGGCAACAGAAATCAGTTCCCCTGGAGAAAATGGCCACTTTGGGAGGTGGACTCTATGGCATTATACCCCACTGAAGTCCATTCCCTCCTCAGGCTCCACCCCCAAAACCTACAGGTATTTCCCAACCCCAGAGCTGGCAACACTAGTGTCAGTAGAAATTGGGAGGGGGGTTGTAGCACAAAAGTTTGTCATTCTGTAAACCTGAAGTAAGAACTCCAGTAGGATCAAACTCTTTTCTCAATTTACAGATCAGAAATCAGCATCTGGCTAGCTACAACCATGAAGATTGGTTTTTCTATACAAAAGAAATAGAAAGTAATAGTATATACAGAGGTCATTTCGGGGGGGAATGCGGGGGAACGCAGTTCCCCCAGCTGAGGTACCGGGGGGTGGGGCGGGGGCTTCCTTGCTCTCCCGCCGGCCTTGCAGGTCCACCGCCGGGCCCCTCATGCGGCTCGGCAGTGGAGCTGCAAGGCCGGTGGTGGCGGCCAGGACCGTTGGGGGCGGGGTGTGTGGCCTTATGACACATTTCCGGTGATGTCAGGGGGTGTGGCCTTATGACACACTTCCGGTGATGTCAGGGTATGTGGCATATGCTAATGAGTTATGCTAATGAGTTCCCCTAGCTCTTTTTCTACGAAATGACCCCTGATATATGATCGTACTTCTGTACGGCTCAAGGT